TTACAAGCAAAATGTTATTGAGGGCAGGCCTGCTATCATGCTAATAATATCCACACTTTGAGAGGCCAACGTCAGAGGATAGCTTGAGCACAGGAGTTTGAGACCAGCCTGGGCAACGCAGTGAGACCCTGTCTCTACAACGACATCAACAAGAACAACAAAAAGTGTTACTGAATCTTCACAGCTACCCCCTTAGGCAGTTATTAGTACTATTTTTCCTATTTTACAGATGAATAAATTGTAACTAAGAGAAGTGAAGTGATTTCTCCAAGGCTACAGAACTAAATGGTGGTAGAGCTGGGATAAGAGGTTTTTTTTTTGTTTGTGAGATGGGGTGTCACTGTTGCACAGGCTAGGGTGCAGTCACGTGATCATAGCTCAACCTTTCCAGGCTAAAGTGGTCCTCCCACCTCAGCCTCCCAAGTAGCTGGGACTACAGGTGTGCAGCATCACACATGGCTAATTGTTGTATATTTTTGTAGAGACAAGGTCTCTCTGTGTTGCCCAGGCTGTTCTCGAACTCCAGGCTCAAGCAATCCACCAGTATTGGCCTCGCTAAGTATTGGGATTACAGGCATTAGCCACTGTGCTCAGCCTGCTTTTTGTTTTTTTGAGGAGTCTTGCTCTGTCACCCAGGCTGGAGTGCAGTGGTGCGATCTCAGCTCATTGCAACCTCTGCCTCCCAGGTTCAAGCGATTCTCCTACCTCAACCTCCTGAGTAGCTGGGACTACTGGTGTGTGCTACCATGCCCAGCTAATTTTTGTATTTTTAGTAGAGACAGGGTTTCATTATGTTGGCCAGGATGGTCTCTATCTCTTGACCTTGTGATCCACCTGCCTTGGCCTCCCAAAGTGTTGGGATTACTGGCATGCATCACCTCATCCAGCTGAGATTGCGTTTTAAACAAAAAGAAAGAAAATAATGTTACATTTATGAAAAAAGTTTTCCCAAAACAAAAAATTTAGTGAAGAGAGTAACATTTTTTACTTCTTTTTTCTTGCTAATCCCTCTAATACCTTGCTTTATAGATGATGGCTAGATATACACAGCAGCTTCTACATTTACTTTGTTGTGATATCATATGTCATGCAGCCTCTGGAAAATCCCACTGTACTTGTGATTGACTACAAGTGAAAATGACAAATAAAGGCTTAGTATTATTTATTATGAAAGAGTCTTAATCTTGTGAACTTCCTGAAAAAGATGTTCCTGAATAGTCTGCTGACCACAATTCTTGGGTTCTCTCCTAAAAGAAAGGATGGCAGGAGAAGATGGGAGATAGATCTCCAATCCAGTGTCTCCCCATATTCATCTTTTGTGTACCATCTTAGCAATTTCTACCAAGTCTAAGGAGTCAAATGTTTTACTTAACATGCATATAGGCTGGTCGTGGTGGCTCACGCCTGTAATCCCAGCACTTTGGGAGGCCGAGGTGGGTGGATCATGAGGTCAGGAGATCGAGACCACCTTGGCTAACACGGTGAAACACCATCTCTACTAAAAATACAAAAAATTAGCCAGGCACGGTGGCTCACGCCTGTAATCCCAGCACTTTGGGAGGCCGAGGCAGGCGGATCACGAGGTCAGGAGATTGAGACATCCTGGCTAACACGGTGAAACCCCGTCTCTACTAAAAAATACCAAAAATTAGACGGGCACAGAGGCGGGCGCCTGTAGTCCCAGCTACTGGGGACGCTGAGGCAGGAGAATGGCGTGAACCCGGGAGGCGGAGGTTGCAGTGAGCCAAGATCGCGCCACTGCACTCCAGCCTGGGCCATAGAGCGAGAGGCGGTCTCAAAAAAAAAAACAAAAAAACAAAAAAAAACCCAACATGCATAATTAAAACAATTTAACTCATGTCCTTTCCCTTCTACAAATTTATTTTCACAGGAAACTTTATATATTACTATTATGCATGGAGAACTTAGTATTCGTTATTAAACAGCAGGTAATGGCACAAATTAATTTCCAAAAAAGAAAAAAAATTCTAGGCCAGATATGGTGGCTCACGCCTGTAATCCTCGCACTTTTTTGGGAGGCTGAGGTGGGAGGATCGTGTGAGCCCAGGAGTTCAAGGCCAGCCTGGGTAACAGAGTGAGATCCCATCTCTAAAACAATGACAAAAGTTAGCCAGGCATGGTGGCACACATCTGTAGTCCCAGTTACTCAGGAGACGAGAGATTCCTTTGACCTCAGGAGTTGGAGGTTGCAGTGAGCTATGATTGCACCACTGAACTCTAGTCTATGAAACAGTGCAAGACTCTGTCTCAAAAATACATAAATAATGGCTAGGCGCAGTGGCTCATGCCTGTAATCCCAGCACTTTGGGAGGCCGAAGTGGGTGAATCACCTGAGATCAGGAATTCGAGACTAGCCTGGCCAACACAGTGAAATCCCATCTCTACTAAAAATACAAAAATTAGTTGGGTATGGTGGCGGGCGCTTGTAATCCCGGCAACTCGGGAGGCTGAGGCAGGAGAATTGCTTGAATCCGGGAGGCGGATGTTGCAGTGAGCTGAGATGGCGCCACTGCACTCCAGCCTGGGTTAACAGAGCGAGACTCTGTCTGAAAAAAACAAAAAATAAAATAAAATTAGCCGGGTGTGGTGGCATGCACCTGTGATCCTAGCTACTTGGGAGGCTGAGCTGGGAGAATTGGTAGAACCCGGGAGGCAGAGGTTGCAGTGAGCGAAGATCACGCCATTGTACTCCAGCCTGGGCAACAGAGTGAGAGTCTCTCTCAAAATAATACATAAATAAATAAATAAAATTCTAGGTAAGCACCCTAATCTGCTACAGGCTGTGCGGCTGACGCTTGCTGTCTGTTCAACATGGGAAATTAGTAAGTGTGGAGAGGTGATAAAGATCTATTAGCACCAAATACAGACTTTCTCCTTAATGTAATCCGAAAGATTGAAGATGAACCCCTGTAGCATTATTTATTGTTATTATTATTATTATTTTTTTGAGACAAGGTCTTGCTCTCCTGCCTCAGCCTCCCAAGAAACTGGGATTAAAGGCACGCCCGGCTAATTTTTGTATTTTAGTAGAGACGAGGTTTCACCATTTGCTGAGGCTGGTCTCAAACTCCTGGACTCAAGCAATCCTCCTACCTCAGCCTCCCAAAGTGCTGGGATTGCAAGCATGAGCAACCACACCAGGCCTTACAGCATTATTTAATGCCACATCCATGTACCACCTAAATTATCTAGCTTATGGACAATAACAATCTTCAGACCACACTTTGGAGCCATTCCTCACTCTGGGGAAAGTGGCACTGCCAGAGTTTCTCAAAACATTTTCCATAGTGATTTGATCGGCATTAAACTGATCTCCTAATGCAAGATTTTTTTTCAATCCTTATGCACTGAATGAAGAACAGTCTCACTTTTTTAGGACCAAAGATTGTTTACCAATAACTTACCCAATATTAAAATATGGTTTTAATGCCCATTTGCTTTAGGGCAAATAGGAGGGTTATAAAATCTCACTGGATGGATCCAAGAGAAGAAAAAAAAAGATTGGCTTTAAGTGCAAAATGAGAATGCCTGATTAGCTTTTTGTTTTGTTTGGGTGACATCACATGTATCATTAGGCTTAGAAAGTTCATTTGACACCTTATTTGTATGAGTTCTTGAGTTCCTTCCATATCTGTTTTCCTGCATTGGGGCTTTTTTTTTTTTTTTTTTTTTTTTTTGAGACGGAGTCTCACTCTGTGGCCCAGGTTGAAGTACAGTGGCACGATCTCGGCTCACTGCAACCTCTGCCTCCCAGGTTCAAGCGATTCTCCTGCCTCGGTCTCCCGAGTAGCTGGGACTACAGGCACGTGCCACTATGCCTGGCTAATTTTTGTATTTTTTAGTAGAGACAGGGGTTTCACCATATTCGACAGGCTGGTCTTGAACTCCTGACCTCGTGATCCGCCTGCCTCAGCCTCCCAAAGTGCTGAGGTTACAGGCGCGCCTGGCCGCACTGGGGCTTTTAGAATTGAATTTACTGCCTGTGAGAGTTCTCTTCTATTTCAATTTTAGGGCTAAAGAATGTGGGTTTTTTTTCCCTCCAGGCAAATGAGATTAAATAAATATTTAAATTTTGTGTGAAATTTATCCAACATTTTCCACTCTTTGCTATTGCTTAAGTGCAAAGTTTTGTGTTTTTTTTAAACATTATAATCGCTACTTAGAATTCTAAGCTGTAATTTTGCTGTTATGTAAATTACATCACTTCATAGTAAAACCAAGCAAATAGTATTCATTCCTTCCTCTGCCTTGGAAACTGATTCCTTCTGAAAATAACTGCAGAAACTAATGAAAGCAAGATCCAGTTCCCGCCTAGATCTAGCTGGTCTGATTTTCAGCCACTCCCCAGAGGAAAGAACAGATAAAATGATGCAATACTGGCTAGCATTCCTGGCTATTTCTGACAATCCAGGTGCTATGTGACTAATATATCAAGTGAAAAAAAATTTCCTTGATTAAAGTCATAATAACATATTATGTGTAATAACACAGGGAGTATAGATGACTCAGATTCCAGGAATAATAGAAATTGGTGGCTCAGCAATTTAACCAGCTAGAGGGATTGTTATGCCAGATGGGGGTTGGAGAAGGGCTTGCCAATTGCACACTGAAGTTAAACAGAAGCCTAACTTAATTTGTATTCCTGGTTTTAAAAAAAAGTCTATTATGTACATCCAGCCTAAAAAACACTGCCTTGAACAAGATAAAAGGGTATTTTCTCTCAAACACTACATAGGTAGTCCAAGGCTTCAATGACTCTCCTTGGTCCCAAGCTGCTTCTTTTTTTATCTTTGATTTTTGAGACGGAGTCTCGCTCTGTCGCCCAGGCTGGAGTGCAGTGGCGCGATCGCACCTCACTGCAAGCTCCGCCTCCCGGGTTCGCGCCATTCTCCTGCCTCAGCCTCCCGAGTAGCTGGGACTACAGGCACCCACCGCAACGCCCAGCTAATTTTTTGTATTTTTTTAGTAGAGATGGGGTTTCACCGTGTTAGCCAGGATGTCTCAATCTCCTGACCTCGTGATCCACCCGCCTCAGCCTCCCAAAGTGCTGGGATTATAGGCGTGAGCCACTGCGCCCGGCCCCAAGCTGCTTCTTTCTCGGCTCTCTGCTTTGCAGACTCGAATGACCTCATGGTCCAAGATGGCGGCGTCCAAGTTCCAGCAGCGAGACGGAGAAAGGAACAAAGAAAAAGAAAGCAAAGATACCCACCCGAGACTTGACACTTCCGTTTATATCCTATTGGCCAGAACGTAGTCACGTGACCTTACTTAAACGACAAGGGAGGCTTGGAAAGGTAAGCTTGCTTTAAGAAAAAATCCAGCCCTGCTGAAAATTCAGTTCCATGGAAGAGAGAGACAGGATCTTGAGAGACAACTAGAGCTTTCATTAAAAAAACAAAACAGGCCGGGCGCGGTGACCCACTGCTGTAATCCAAGCACTTTGGGAGGCTGAGGCGGGTGGATCACCTGAGGTCAGGAGTTCGAGACCAGCATGGCCAACATAGTGAAACCCTGTCTCTACTAAAAAACAAAACAAAACAAAAAAATTAGCTGGGTGTGGTGGCGCGCAACTGTAGTCCCAGCTACTCAGGAAGCTGAGGCAGGAGAATTTCTTGAACCCGGGAGGCGGAGGTTGCAGTGAACTGAGATCGTGCCACTGCACTCCAGCCTGGGCGACAGAGTGAGACTCCGTCTCAAAACAAAAACAAAAACAAAAACAAAAAAATCTTTTTTTTTTGAGTCAGAGTCTTGCTCTGTCGCCCAGGCTGGAGTGCAGTGGCGTGATCTTGGCTCACTGCAACCTCTGCCTCCCATGTCCAAGCAATTCTGCCCCAGCCTCCTGAGTAGCTGGGACTACAGGTGCACCACTGCACCTGGCTAATTTTTGTATTTGTAGTTGAGATGGGATTTTGCCATGGTAGCCAGGCTGGTCTTGAACTCCTGACCTCAAGTCATCCACCCACCTCAGCCTCCCAAAGTGCTGGGATACAGGCGTGAGCCACTGTGCCCGGCCAATAAATATTTATTGAGCACCTACTATGTGCCAGGCACTGTTCTATGGGCTGAGATATACTGGCAAATAAAACAAAATCCCGTCCTCTTGGGGCTTACATCCTAGCAGGAAGGGAAAAACAATAAATAATAAATATAAGTAGTTACATTACTGCTATGGACTAAATGTGTCCCTCCAGAAATCACCTTTGAGAGGTGATTATATCACAAGGGTGGAGGCCTCATGAATGGAATGAGTACCCTTATTAGAATGCTCCCTGCTCTCTGCTATGTGAAGATACTAGAAGGTGGCCAGGTATGAACCAGAAAGTGGGCCCTTAGACACTGGATTTGCCAGTGCCTTCATCTTGGACTTCTCAACCTTCCGAGCTGTGAGAAATAAATTCTTGTTTTTTAAGCCACCCAGAGTCCAGGGCAGAGGCTCATGCTTGTAATTCCAGCACTTTGGGAGGCTGAGGCAGGAGGATTGCTTCACCCCAGGACGTCGAGGTTGCAATGAGCCAGGATCATGTCACTGTACTCCAGGCTGGTAACAGAGTGAGACCCTGTCTATTAAATAAATAAATAAATAAAGCCACCCAATCTATGGTAATTTGTTATAGCAGGCTGAATAAGCTAAAACAATTACATAGTGTATTAGAAAGAGTAAGTTATTAGATACAATAAATTATGTCTTTTCATTTTTTCTTTTTTTTTTTTTTTTTTTGAGACAGTCTCACTCTGTCACCCAGGCTGGAGTGCAGTGGCACGATCTTGGCTCACTGCAACCTCCGCCTCCCGGCTCGAGCAGTTCTCCTGCCTTAACCTCCGAAGTAGCTGGGACTACAGGTGCATGCCACCACACCGAGCTAATTTTTGTATTTTTAGTAGAGATGGAGTTTCGCCATGTTGGCCAGGCTAGTCTCAAACTCCTGACCTCAAGTGATCCACTCGCCTTGGCCTCCCAAAATACTGGGATTATAGGCGTGAGCCACCACGTCTGGCTGATACAGTAAATTATCACAGTAAAAAAGAAAAATGAGGAAAGGGATGTGGAAGTGGAGGGAGGTGGTGGCAATTTTACATAGGTGATCAGGGGTTGGCCTCATTGAGAAGGCAACAATTGTGCAGACTCAAAGAAAGTGAGGGAGTGAGGTCTGCAGAACTCCAGGAGACGAGGCTTCCAGGCAGAGGGAAGAGCCAGAGGGACGGACAAAGGACTGATACGGGGAAAGAGGCAAAGAGACCAGAGCTGGTTGAAGCAGAATGAATACTGAGGAGAGTAGAGGAAGCTGGGAAAATTGAGGGGAGTAGAGGAAGTAGGGGAAGTCAGAGGAAGCTGGTTCCTCCAGAGTGGGCTCTTATAGCCATCATAAGGACTTTGGCTCTTACTGTGTGTGAAATGGGAGCTACTGCAGTGTTTGGAGTTGTAGAATTCTAAATGCATAGGGCTTATAAATAGTCATTTCTCTATTGGAGAGAGGGCTAAACATTTAATAACTGCTGGGGTGCATCATTTTAAAAATTTGAAGATCACAAACTGGACTTATTTTCTGCATCTATGTAACAACAGCTGAGAAACAATGCCATTCTACTTCACCAAGTTTTCTTTTCTTTTTTTTTTTTTTGAGACAGGGTCTCACTTTGTCATCCAGGGTAGAGTGCAGTGGCATGATCTCGGCTCACTGCAACCTCTGCCTCCCAGATTGAGGCAATTCTCCTGCCTCAGCCTCTTGAGGAGCTGGGATTACAGGTGCCCACCACCACACATGGCTAATTTTTGTATTTTTAGTAGAGACGAGGTTTTACCATGTTGGCCAGGCTGGTTTCGAACTCCTGACCTCAGATGATTCACCCAGCTCGGCCTCCTAAAATGCTAGGATTACAGGCATGAGCCACTGCACCCAGTACTAACTTTTATTTCCAATCAAAATTTTATTTATGAGCTATATTGGACAACCCTGGGTGACTACAATTATTACACTCATTTACATGTAGTGGGAGATCACTGTGGCCCAGTACTCTTCTAAATCCTTTATTCAGATTAGCCTGTTGAATCCTCACAACCACTTTATTATTATTACCCATTTTATAGATGAGGAAACAGAGAAGTAAAGTTACTTGCCCAAAGTCACACAGCTAGCAAGGGGTGAAGCTGGAGCTGAAACCCAGGCTTGTGCGTAGCCCACGCTCTTCACACTATGCCAAACTGCCTCTGAGATGATTCAGAGGCTTGGTGTATCTCACAAACCAAATGAATCAAGAAATGTATTCAACAGTAGCATCCTATTTAAGCCCGGTGGAAGTAAAGCACTGCTCTGAACAGGGAAGAGGGCTGCCACCTGCCCTTTCTGGTCTGCAAGACTTTTTTTTTTTTTTTTTTTTTGGACACAGAGTCTTGCTCTGTCACCCAGGCTGGAGTGCAGTGGCATGATCTCGGCTCACTGCAACCTCTGCCTCCCGGATTCAAGCAGTTCTCATGTCTCAGCCTCATGAGTAGCTGGGATTACAGGTGCATGCCACCACACCTGGCTAATTTTTGTATTTTTAGTAGACTGGGTTTCACCATGTTGGCCAGGCTGGTCTGGAACACCTGATCTCAAGTGGTCTGCCTGCTTTGGCCTCCCAAAGTGCAGGGATTATAGGAGTGAGCCATCATGCTTAGCCAAGGTCTGCAAGTCTTGATGTTGACAGGATTTGCTGATCCAACATCTGAGAGTCTGTGTGTAGGACTGGACACGTCCTTGAGGATCATGATGGTGGCCTCATGTTACCTGTTGTTCCTGGCAAAACAGCCCCACTCAAGTCCAGCTTCCTGGGTCCTCCCTCCTCTGTCCTTCATGCTGTCCTTGTAGCTTGCTACTTAAAATCACTACTACTATGTCCAACTGAAATACAATAGAGAGTAATGAATGCGGGCATAACCTTGGCTCAGGGAAGACTTGGGTTTGAGTTTTGGCTCTGGTGCTTCACAGCTGCGTGACCTTGGGCAGGCCACCTAACCTCTCTGAGCCTTAGGTCCCTCAGTGTAGATCTTACCTCAAAGGTTCCAGGGGGGATTAAGACCATGCATGTAAAAAGCACATAATAGAAGCTCCAGAGATGTTTCCTATTATCACTTTTAAACCGATGTAACCCATGTACTATTTTCCTGTAAAACCTGAATATAACTGTTCAGAAAAGCAGAAAACTAAACTTATAATCCGGAAGTATTTATACTTCAATAACTTGAGATGGTCCTGCCCTCCCCCCACTCTAGTAGTCAGTTCTGCTGTAACCTTTATTGTGAAAACACAAATTTGTCCCAATTGATTGATATATTAGGGAGCAATAGCATCTATGAACATAATATACATTTTACATTTGCTTATGTGCAAGTTCATTTGCAGGAAACTCTAGCTGAATACTGAAACTGCACCCAGGTAAACAGAATCACATCGGTATACACAAAATTTATACACCTATTCATCTCCAGGGACTTCTCTCACCACGTGTTAGGAGCCACACTCATCTATACCTGGCCTGTCTCATTTCAGATAATCTTCCATCGCTTCACACGATGGAAGATTTTTCCATCTAATCTTGGCCCAGATGCAATTTTTTTAGAATCATATTTCCACAAGCAAACTTGAGGACTTTTTAAAAGTAAAGTGCCATTAATCTTAGCATTTATATACTTTTAAAGAATTTAGTATGTGTACAACTGTGCTAAAATTTTTATTGTGTGTGTGTATTTTGAGACACGGTCTTGTTCTGTCTCCCAGGCTGACATGCAGTGGTGCAGTCATGGCTCACTGCAGCCTCTACCTCCCACACTCAAGTAGTCCTCACCCTTTAGCCTCCCAAATAGCTGGGATCACAGTCACACATTTGGATTTTTGGTAGAGACAGGGTTTCACCATGTTGCCCAGGCTGGTCTCTGACTCCTGAGTTCAAACAATTTGTTCGCCTTGGCCTCCCAAGGTGCTGGGATTACAGGTGTGAGCCACTCACCGTGCCTGGCCATGATTTTTATTAAGTTCCCATCTTTTAAAAAATGCATCACTGATGAGGTTTTTGAGTATAGGCCACCATCCCCATTTTTCCATAAGCCCTGTGGTTTTTATTGTGCAATGTTTTTGGCGCAGTGATTTTTAGGGATGCATGTGTCATCTTACAGAACTGACTGTATATGAAGCAAATTACATATTCACTGTAGAAAAATTAGAAAAGGGCTAATAAGGGAAAAAGAAAAAGGAGAGCAAACTTCACCCATAGTTCCACTCCCCTAGAAGAAATCACATTCCTTGTTTTCTTTGCATCT